CAGCATACCCAAAGACGCGAATGTAAGTAAAGCAGCGTCGAGCTTGAACATGAACCATCGTTCTTCCTTTGGCTTGTCCAAGGTATCCCAAAGGTAGTAATACCACTTGTGCGGTTTCGGCTTCACCTCTTCATTGGAATGAGTACTGGAAGTTGCTGCGATAACATCGGTCGAAATGTTTTGAGGGATACCCATCTTCGCAAGATGTTGGAGCGAATGACCTATCGCTGAAGCAAGAAAGTATGCGCAAAACACGCGACCTTATTAAGCTACCAAAGCAAGCTCATCTTCGCCACAATTAAGCTTGCCAATAACTCTGGCAGTTCTTGATGGCGCTTAGCATGACGATGGCAGCACCTTCGACATGAGGCGCAAGTCGACATACTGGGGTTGGTATGGCGTTATGACAGGGTTGACGCGGGATTTCTGCTATCTGCGGTTAGTCTGTATGGTACAAGGGGAAACCGGGTTCACTTATCCGATGTAGTGCGTTGTGGGATCCTCGCGTTGCATGGAAACGCGGTGGTGACATGTGTCGCCATCAAGCGTGCAGATTGCGTGCCTATATCCAGAGATAAGGACCGCGGAGTACCAGTGCGTATGGGATGTCGACTAAGAGCCTAACTTGAATGGATAAACTCGTTAACGTCGCGTAGAATGCATAACCTAAGGCATTGAGGAGTTCAATGCGGTGTTCATCGAACTAATCGAATGGGTCACGTGATCAACCTTGCATCTAAGATTGAAACTACAAACATGTTACTTCGAGTCTCTTCTCAGAGATCGTACTGGTAAATAAAGCTTTCATCCGTGCCAAATTGTCCGCTCGTGCAGCATGCCATTTCTCTGTGTGTCCGCTCAACCTCCCTTTGCCTGCTCTCTCTAGGTCAGAGTTGACCCAAGCTAGAAGCTCGTTGACGTAGTCTGCCTCTTGGTCTCTTAGGCTATGAAATTTTTTCCCATGGCCCTTGATCTTCACCTTCTCGTTGTATTCTCTCCGCATGGCCTCTTTGCTAGGAAGCCTCGCCTGAGCAGAGAGTACCTTGGCGACCACCATGGCTTGAAACTCAAATAAGCTGAATGTAGCCGTGAAGAAAGGAACGCCGATAAAGGTAAGCGTGGGATCGTTGATGTAGAAGACATCCTTGTGTAGGTTGTGAAACTGCGTCCCATCCGTCACCAGCATTGTCTCATCTGCTTTGTCGACTAGTATATTGTCCGAGTGAAGCTGAGGCAAGAATGGTAGAGTAAGATGATAACCCGTACAAAGTATGACATGATGAATGTCGCAGATCTTCGCGCCCGACTTTAGGGTCACGGTAGCTGGGATCGCTTCGGACGGGCCCAGTGACGTTGATTTACCCACATCAGGCACGTTGTATGATACCACCTCGTCGACCCGGTAGGCGTTGTCAGGCAGCATGCTAGCGGGAAGGTCAAATTTGCCATTTCTTTGACTTTGGAAGATCTTGTTTGCATATGGCCCGAGCTCGCGCGCGATGTCCGTTGCTGATACGCTTCCACCAACGAGCAAGTAGTTCTGCAGCATCATCAGCTCACGTCCGACCAAATGAGAATGTCTGAAGCAGAAGCAATGCATACCTTTGAATGCGCATTTTCAGGCCTTCGATAGCGTTTAGAGTGTTCTACCCTATTTGGCCACCTTCTTTTCCAGTCTGCCAGTCCAGGGGTGGTAGGAACTTTTGGTGAGTGGTAGTGGCCTGAAGCGACTACTATCGCATCAAAGCTCTAAACCAGTATTAGAATCAAGAAAAAATGCAATGGTAGAAGTTTTTACCTGAGTAGAGATCTCCCATCTGACGGCACCTGTGGTATCGGTCTGCAGTGTTGCTGTTTCGACTGACCATGATCTACCACTTTTCGAAACATGCCTCACGTTGGTATCGTACTGTGTTATATCATGTACCCCCGTTGAAACTGCGGTGCTCTGTATGTAGTCTGCCAAAACTTTGTGCGTTACATAATCCTCAGTTCCAGCTGGGAATCGATTCAACGTGGTTTCCAGTAGACGTGTGCTCACGTTGTTCCTCAGACCAACATAGCAAGGACTACAATCAGTCAGCTCTTCGTTACAAATGATTTACAGTTCGGCAGGACTTGCCCTGGTGGGGCGTGAAGTAGCCTCTCGATATCTTCCGACTCTTCACTTGAACATGTAATTCCAGCTTGCGAAACGGCTATTGTTGAATATGAGGGCTCCAGAGGCTTTCGCTCATCGTATAGCCTTTCAAAAAGTGAGTTCGTCGTCTAGTGAATTAGATTGGAAGACTACCATATGCCCCCTGCAGCACTAGATCGCTCAAAGACTGTGACATGAAGGCCTTCCTTCTTCAGGTGCGCAGCAGCAACAATACCACTGATACCTGCGCCGATCACAGCGACGCGGTTCGAGGGGAAATTCATAGTCAGAATGCTGGTATGATCCGGTCTGGGTTTCATTACAGCTTTGTGAAATGGTCGAATACATTCACTCCCGATCATTCGCAGTCAGTGAGACCTCAAGGTTTGTATTACTAATTGCTATTCCCTATTTTCCGTTAGTATTGTGCGGGGTTTTGCATGCGAGGCTGTCAATATTGGTCACACCTCCGACATGGCAGGAAGGATCGCAAAGCGTGATGGTGGATAGGAATCGCATCATGAACATCCACTAGACTATCCAGAGAACTTCCAACAACAGACACTAGCGCATCAAGCTGCAAATACCCAAACGACCCCACAATTTCTGTACAAGAAACAAGGCGACCGTTCTGTTCGATAAGGTGGAAGATGTTCACTGGGTATTCGTCATAATCCCGCCGATGATGTGATCGACCCCGCAACAGAACCATGAATGTCGCAATCACCACGCGACACAGCCAGCTTGACCCCTCAGATATGAGGTATATTATTAAGCCATTGAGCGATAGAGGGTAGGGAATGTAGTGTATGGATATAAGGATTGATGGCTCAACCGACCAAATGCCATCATCAATCGCATCACAGCAACCTCCATAATGGCACCAAGCGCAATTCGCATTCATGAACATATTCAAGAGAAAGATACTCTTCCTCCGAGGAAGGACTCACTGAAGCTACCAGAGCCGGCCAGGATCAGGCTTGAGAAAGCAGGCATCAACTTGTCGAACGGCTATCCATACCGGCCAGCGAAACCACTTTACCTCGACGACGTGTACAAGATCAGGGACTATGATCGTGAGCATATAGACCCAGGGTCTCGGGCTGATCCAGAGAAGAAGGCGCTTTTTGGCGCTGCAAAAGAAATCATACATTTGACTGCGCATATTGGTACGGAAGTCGTTGGACTTCAACTGAAGGATCTCACAGACCAACAAAAAGATGAGCTCGGTCTTTTGATTGCTGAGAGAAGCGTGGTGTTCTTCCGTGACCAAGATCTTTCGCCTCAACAGCAGAAGAAGCTGGGAGAATGGTACGGTGAAATCGAAGTCCACGTATGTTGTCCCTTCCGACCTACTACTACTATGCTGACGTCCAGTGAAGCCACAAGTACCATTTGTACCTGGCGTTCCGGGAGTGACTGTCCTTTGGCCGGACCTTCAGGCGACAGAGGTCACTCCCAGCTTCAGGAAAACGGGTGGTGCGTCCAGGTGGCACACCGACTTGGTGCACGAACGCCAACCGGCTGGGTAAGTGACAGCAGTCTTTACTAGTAAGCGTATCTCTGACTTTCTACAGTGTAACACATTTGCACAACGATACCATTCCAAAGATTGGAGGCGACACGCTCTGGTCTTCCGGCTACGCTGCCTACGAGAAGCTTTCCCCGGCCTTCAGAAAGATCATCGACGGTAGAGAGGCAGTGTACCGTAGTGCGCATCCCTACCTTGACCGCGACAACACTAGCGCCGGCCCCAAGTACATTGAACGCGTCCACCCGATTGTCCGTGTTCATCCAGCGACCGGATGGAAGTCACTTTGGGTCAACCGCGCTTTTACGGACCGCATTGTTGGACTCGACAAGGCTGAAAGCGACGTCATCCTTAACTATCTCTTCGATGTTTACGAGAACAACGTCGATACTCAGGTTCGTTTTCGGTGGACTCCGGGAACTTCGGCGCTTTGGGACAACAGAATCACAATCCACAACGCGAGCTGGGATTATGAAGGGACTGAGCCGAGGCATGGAACGAGGGTTACAGCATTAGCAGAGAATCCATTTTACAAGCCCGATGCGCCGACGCGAAGGCAGGCGTTGGGTCTCGCCGGACCTGATGACATCTAGGAGGCATGGTGATGATTTTTCAGTCCTCGGAAGACGAGACGCGTCGACGCGCGACGACACTTGTGGGGCCGGCCGACTGCGGGTGTAGCTAGAAGTCTCCTCATATGGCGGTTGTTCTACCAGATAGCTCTTGGTCTCAGACTTTAGTATTGAACAGTTCTTATCGCATATCGATCACGCTTTCATGAGTTGTGATTTCGTAGGTGTGGGTTGGGGCATCTTGCCGTTACCCGCCAAGCGCTGGGGTCCGCAAAGTCCCTCCACATCTACGCTAACCGAATCAAGGAAGTGGGTCGTGATCGCAGCCTTGACTTACGGACCCTAACAGATCATTTCAAGCAGCTAGGTCGCCAGAACCTGTCGCAATACATATATATGCCCCGTACTGTCTACCTTGTCGTCTACAGCTCTCGGCTCTTCCCCGCCCATTGGAGCCTATGGATTCCGTCCGTGGAACTACCAGTTGTTGGAAAGCGTCTCCATGCCACCGGAGATGCAATGAATGGCTTCGAGATCGCATTCGAGCGCAACTACAACCTCACCGACGACTCTCGTCAGTATCAGCTTGTAGAACTGGGGCAGATACTTGAGGAACATGTGGTTGATTCTAAACCAAGCGATGGCATATCAACAGACCAAACTGTTGCCATTCAGGACTACCCTTCTTGGAATCGGCCCGATGCTTCTTGGCCGAATGTTCTACAACCTTCACTTTCACTCCTTTGCCGTTATGTGCTTACGCATATCTTATGTATATAACCTCGTGTATCTACTCCGTAGGACAATCGACGCAGTTCTCATATGCAGTTGTTGACGTCTTGTCTACTGCGATACAAACGCCCCTGGATCATCTTGAGCAGCTTCTAATGAGCGTTCCCACACCTGGTCCAAGTTTGATGTCGGCTGCTTCTCAGGTAGGCGAATTTTCCAGTTTAGATGTTGCTGCTAATTCTCTTCGTCGCAGGGACAACGACAGCGGGTGGAGATTCAGAACTGCCAGACTTGGCTACGAGCAGCGGTGGCTGTACTCATGCAGAATGGGGTGATGGATCAGTCTGCTTTGCAAGCTGTTGATGATGCACCCAAGAATTGACCATCTAGTATAGCTAGGCCTGAGGTCTTAGGTGCAGAAAGTAGCATCGCAATCGAGTGAACAGTCTACTATGTTTGGTGCCATGCCGAGACTCCTAGTATCATAGGGCGACAGACAACATCTTGAGTCTCGGCGCTACTCACTTTTGTGATGTACTTATGCGGCGCTCAATGCACGTCCTTGTTGGCGGGCAGGAAAGGAGAATTGCTCGTGCGCGGCTCCCCACAAAGCCTCGACTTCGCTATTTCAGGGAAGAATGTGACTGCTACTGACCCCTGAAACAGCATCAGCAACCACGGTTCTTTACACTCAACTCGATGATGGCTGTGTGAGTACGTGGGTACGCATGGCATCGACGCAACGACATCAGCGTTCACTGCAGTACAATGAATCCAACCGTAAAGTCTGCACACCAGCATGACTATTATTCAACCAGCTAATTAAAGAAGTAACCCGAGACTATGAGAGACGAAATCATCATTCAACCACCAGATATCTGAACTCTTTACAAATTTTCCGAAGGCGTCAGATGAGGACGAACTGGCGCATACCGGTGGCTGGATTGTACTTTCCGGGCATCTGTACATCGCTGAGATATGGTTCGAGAATACCTGGATCATCTACACATCTGTGATCGGAGTACGGACTGAGCTTTGTCAGACCGATCCTTCGAAATGCCTTCCGTTTCCTATCGAACCTCAGGATCAGGCAAGTCAGATACTTCGATCCTTCCGGATCCTTCCGGTTAGTTTTCGCAGCAGGTACTACGTAAACATCGGCATCTGGCCCCCACACTGACTCGTCTTCTCTTGCAGGGCAGTCCAAGTAGACGATGGTGTGCTCGTCGTTATCCAGATCGCCCCGGTCAACCAGTCTCCATCCGAAACGACCTTTGTCCTTCTTATTGAGAGTAGCCTTGCGCAACTTGCCCTCAAGCAAGAGACGTGCATCCTCCAGCAATCCGAACTCGTCAAAATCTTTTTGTTCGATTACTGATATACTTTTGACGGATATATAAAGGTCTCTGTCGGTAGGCGCCCCGTATTTGATGCCGCTCGCTTGGTCAGTATCTATAGCTGCCCAAGCAAACGATGGCGCGAGATAATCCGGGTAGAACGTAGTGAGATGATCGAAGCTGTCGTCCATGTGCCGAAACGTTGGCTCCACGTACCACAGGAGCTGGCTCTCGAGGTGTAAATCCCATAGCCCGGCTACGTACTTTACACCTTCAGGCGCTGCATCAGCATTATCATTGGTGAAATGATCTTGCTGTGGCACAGCTGTAGATTCTGGTCTGTTGAACTGATTGGCCATCCAACGCGCCATTCCAGACAATGCAATAAGCTTGTCTTTGAGTATTGTGACAGCCGTCTTTGAATATACTTCGACAATATGCGCCCAGAATTCGAGTGCGTATAATTCAGGAAAGAGGTGAGCGTCAGGCTCCGTGTAGCCTTGCAGTCGCGCTACCCGCAAATTTATACCCATTTTTCTATGGGAGAAGGTAATAGACCCAAGAAAAATGGTAGCGAGTAGACTAACTGAGTGCGCAACAACTTAACCGCCAGAAGATCGAGGATCTGCGAGGAAAATTGACAGGTCAACTCTCGCAGGGAGAGATGATCACACTCCACCTTATGAACTACCAAGAGCTGTGGAAGTTGTGTCCAAGAGATGCAAAAACCCTAGCTGCATGGGCACTTTACGAAGGTCTCAATAGGAGTGGTGTGATTCAGGGGGAGCTAGCTAAACGCAAGAAGGGTTCTTCCCATCTCGATGACCCAATAGACACAACGGTATAGCTCAAGCCCGTTGATATCCAATCTCATTGAAGTTGTGTTGGAAGCTCATCTTTATAGTCCCTACTACCACTCATCCTATTTCCACACCCGCCCAAACCTGAACGTTCAACCCCACATACCATATAGTTTACTAGTTCACTGCCCTTCAAGATACATTCATCACCTAGTGACCTTGCTTTTCTTTAACGCCCAATATGAATGCTGATCCAACATAGGCTCCTAAATTCAAGTATCCATGTTTTCACGTACTTAAGAACTCAGTCACAAGCTCATTGAATGTCTCTGGCTGCTCCCAATAGCACCAATGTCCACCCCAAGTTACAGTGACACCCTTTGCGCAACCCTCCGCTCTCCCCCCATTGACCAACTCCACCACTTTCAAAGGGCCAGCTGATGGGAAGCAACCACTCCTACTACTCGCGACCACTAAGACCTTCGTCGTGCTACCACTCTCCGGTCCAAAGTTTTGCGCAATCGGATGGCGCCAGTCGTTGGCCGTATGATCGGCCATCAGCTTTCCATACCACCAACCGTCACCCTTCACTGCCTCTTTCAAAAAGAAAGCCTCATCGTCTTTCCATGTCTGTGTCTCTGGTGTCGGGTCGCCAGGCTGCGGGTGCGATCTATAGCCAAGACATCCACCGATAGTGCCGAGATGTGCTTGCT